GGGGGGGGGGGGGAGGAGCTAAAGAAAATAAAATATTAATTAATAATATTCCCACTGCATTTCTCATTCTACACTTTATAGGAGATATGTATACCTATTTCCAAAATGGATTTCTGTTGGTTGAGAGCCATGGACATATATATTAAATTTCTTGTAGCAGAGGTTAAATGTTGCAAACTATATGATGAAAAGTAATTGCCAGTGAAATATACAGCAGCAGTGGAAAGGTTATATCCTCGTTTTTAAGAACAGTAGCAATTAACCCATAAGTAAATCATGCCCAGTTGATCCTATCTTTCCTATGTATTACTACCTATTAACCATTAAAAGCAGCAGTGAGCTGGCTTTGGAGATTAAGTCCCTTCCAAATAAGCATTAAGTGAAAATTCATTCTTTGTGTGGCTATTCCTATATGATTATACTTTAATGCAGATATCTGAGATAGAGGTGTAGACTTTATCCCAAAGGAATGCAGCAACTGGAAATAGTAGTATTCAGTGCTGAATAATTAAGAGGTAGGTGGCATAAAAGTTGAAAGAATTTCAGTAACATCAACCAAACATGTATAAACCACTGTACTCCACCAATATTCTTTTTATTAGTCAGAAAGGTTGGAGGTATATTACAGCACAAACAAATTTTTGTGAAGAGAAAGAAGTAAGTTGGGGGGAAAAATATCAATTACTTGACAAATAATCTCTAAACATAGGATTTAGTCATACTGGTTGGATGAATGCAGGAAACCTTCCAGAAGGAAGCTGCTAATGAACATGATGGAATCCATCTTTCATTTCATTGCCTGCCTTCTTATGTTGTGTCAGGAAATCTAGAGCTGCGAAGCACCATAACATGTGTGAAGTCAAAGTGATAATTTTATCATATGTTTCTTAAATAACAGGCTTCCATACACTGACAGAAAACCATAAAGATACACACACACACACACACATACACACATACATAAACACATACAAACATACATACACACATACATATATAATCTCTGAATTTGGGAAAGCACCATAACATGTGTGAAGTCAAAGTGATAATTTTATCATATGTTTCTTAAATAACAGGCTTCCATACACTGACAGAAAACCATAAAGATACACACACACACACACACATACACACATACATAAACACATACAAACATACATACACACATACATATATAATCTCTGAATTTGGGATTATGCTTTTACGTACTTCAATATAATTAAAAAATATATCCATCAGTAAAAATGTAAAAATGTTTGAAGCAAGAAAATGTATTGTTATCTCCAGTTACATGGAACATAAATGTGGCAATTGAATTTTGAAGTAAAAATACATTAGGAATTACAGAATTAGATTAGAAAGGATATAATAAAGAGGCTATACATAAGTCATTTCAGCTAATGGGTAACTAATTCCCTTTTCTGTGTGATTCAGGTAGACATAATAAACAATTATTTTTATAAGCCTCATTGTAGAAATATATTAGTGACTATTGTTCTACATTGTTGTAACCCATTAGATACTATATATATTTTTTTTGTTTTAACCTGTGTTATTTCTTTAATATCAAGTAATAGATATGACATTGCTATAATGTTTGTTTCTATAGAGATTGAGTTAGGGAGTAAATTTTTGTCTGCCGTTCCTGGTTTTAGCAAATGAATGGAACAGACTGAGAACATGCTAAGTGTCTTGCTCAGTGACCTACATGTTTAAAGCATTCGGTTAGATTAAGGCAGTTGTTAATTTTAAACTGATTTATTATGAGAACAGGGTTAAAAGTATGGATTATGACATGTGTATGTGTACTTACACACACACACATACACATACCAATAGTGTGCCAACATTTCTTAGAGGAAATTGACATGTTCTTAGAGATAATAGACTTAAAAAATAGAAAGTGGGATTTGGAATCAAGGTCTGATGACATTTTGTGGGCATTTCTGGGACAAGAAACCGACAGTTTAATCTTCTACATGCCACACCTCAGTAGCTGTCAGTACTTGGCTGATCATGGAAAGTAATCAAGGCTGGCCATGAGTAATTCCTAGGT